ACACTCCATTGACTTCAATGGTCAGGCCTGTTCCTACTCCTTACACTAGGTGGTGATATTGGTCTGTAATGTGAATTAACACACATTGAGTCACACCACAGAATAAGACAGGCAACAGAAAAGCTCAGCTGCTACACAGAGTAGGCTATATCAACTATATGAATAGAGACGGTACTGCTGCTCTCCTCAGTTTTCAGAGTTTTTATTTTTCCAAGAAAAGAAAAAAACATTCATTAGTATATTTCAGCAGTTTGTACTTTTAGAATCCAGTAACTTTGATGTAAGTGTATGTTTTTAATTTACTGGTTTTGGCCAACTGGGCCAAACAAAAATACTGTATTTCAAATATTCAAGCTTTTATTTTGCATTGAAGCCCCCATTACAGTTCTAATTCTCAGATATCCCAGCTTTCCACCAGCCTTGAATGCATCACATCACTTGTGAATTCTGTGCACAAAAGTTGAAAGCTCCAAACTGAGTTACATTTACTCAATTACATTTATTTTAGTAACTTTTGTACTGTTTAATTTTACTGTAGTAATTTTATTGTGAAGTATCTGTACTCTTATTCTACCCACCGAATGAAAATCAAACATGTTTTAACCAAAAGTTCACCAGACAGATGCACACTTGCAGTTTTTATTAAAGTTTCATAAGTTTTTTGTTGAATGAAACTGATTGTGAAAAATTTTTCTTTTGTTGTTTTTTATATATTTTTTTATATAATTTTTTTTGTCATTTTCATCCTTAAAATACTAAAATTTCCTTTTAACTTTATGTTTTTTGACCATTTGATCATGTTATTCTTAAATATTAAATGATTGATAATTTTATCTGTTACTCAGCACTTGAGTAGTTTTTTTTTTACCAAATACTTTTTTACTTGAGTAATTTCATGGATAGCTACTTTTTATTTTACTTCAGTAAAACTATGTTGAAGTACAACTACTCTTTAGTACAACTTTTGTGTTCTCTGTTTACCTCTGTTATGTGAAAGGGTACTTTGGGGCAAGGAGCAAAAAGGGCAGGTGCTCAAGCCCCCCCAGCATCACCCCTCTGCACGTGCCTGTGAATTACGTTGTAGAGTTGTGCGCTTTATGAATCTTTTTGAGACTAATTTAGCTCCATATGGGTAATGCAGCTAACATGATACATGTGTGCATGATGTGAACTAAGTTTAGTCATTTTCAAAGCTTTGATCGGGACTCCAGGCCAATATCTGATCAGGTCATCCCATTCGGTCAATACGCGTTTTCCATTATTACTGAAAATCATGAGGTATTTGAAAGTGCTAAATTTGGGCAACCTTGAGTTTGTGTGTGTTTTCAATTTTAAACCAAGATGCCATGGTAGATTAGATTAAAAGAAAAAGCTTGGCTGAGCAAACTGTGTCAGTTTTTCAAATTAAGGAGGTAATATACATGCATGAAGGGGAAACCTCTCCATATTTATTGGTATATTTTACTGGAAGCTGATGATAATTTTGGTGCAGAAAAAGAAGAAAAATATATTTTAAAAGAAAAGCTATAAAACTGAAAGGGATCTCTGTCTTGCTCAGTGATGATGAAACATTTAAATTAATTTTGCTAAATAAGAAACTTGAGTAAATGTTTCTAACGACAATAACTTGGATTTTACGCATTTAAACAAGAATAATTACAACACTCATCTCTATTCATAATAGATGTAGACAGCAGCTGTCACCTTCTCATTTAATAAAACTTAATTTCCCAGTTCAGGCCGTTTCGAAGGAGGCCTCCCAGTAACCCCAATATCTCATACAGACTATTTTTGGTGATGCAGGTTGTTTCATCGCCTAAATGAGGAGGAAATTTTAATTTTAAGTTATTTTTTAGCTTCATACATTAGTAATATTCAGTAAGATGGGTTTCAAGAAAAATATAAAATTTGCTTGAGGGTTTTTTAATTATATCTGGCACATTTGTTATAATTTAGTAACGCAAGGTGCTACAAGTTTAGACGTTAGCAGTTTTTTCGTACTAATATTTGTCTTTAATGACAGTTATCAGATAGGAAATAAACAGAGTAGAAGTTACAGAGGAAAGGTCTATTTTCCCTAAATGTAAACGTCACTCAGAGGTAAACTGCTCACTGCTTTAAGTTGGTTGCAGATTTCTTTGTTTTTTTTCTATTTTGTCAGTTTTTTATTGTTATCTCTCTCATTTGTTGCTAGGAAATGTGCTCATCCATTTATATGCAGATTTGTTACAATTAGTCAGATTATACAGTATTTAAACTGTTCAACAGTGGATCAAATTAAATTGTTAATTTATTATCATTTATCAAATAAAAACTATGACTGAAACATTTTAATCAATCAGTTCATATAAACCTCTGAGCATCCACTGATTATCGAGGAGTTTTTACTTGTTTCATTCATTCACCTTCTTGTTTCGCTTTGGTCAACACGATGAAATAAAACAAAACAAAGTTAATGGTAGAAGCAGAGTAAAAGAGGATATATTTGGGGATGAAGAGCTTAGTGGCTGGCAGAAATGTGAGGAAATTCAAAGAATAATTGAACAGTTGCTGGCTTGATCCCCAGCATCTGACTGTGCCGCTTCGGTGTGTTGAATCACAATCAAAGTCCTGAGGGATTTATTTTTGCTCGCTAGATGAGCCAGAATTGTTAACTGCTTAGAACAATGAAACCTGTTAAGGACCAGTGTTATGCTCTTGTTTGAACAGCAGTCTGCCTGTACTAATAACTTATTTTAGATCTGCAGGAATGAGACTCAACTGCTGATTTTTGTATGAAAGTTATTTAACAGAGAGGGAGTATTGACTCTTTGCATGTGACGTCAGAAATCTGCCCGCTCCGCCATGATGGACGTTAAAACCACCTAGTTCCTTTAAAGCCTTTTCAAAAACCAGCCTAATATCACCTGTGTTTAGTTTATTTCACCTTTAAAATGGTCATGGGTTGCTGCATAAACAGACAAGGATAGAAACCAAACTTTTTATTTTACTGTATAACTTAATGAGGAAAGATGCGGCGGCGATGGAGAGCAGCCGTTAATCATAACGACTGGCAGCCCTCGGTTTAATCGCAGTTTTGCAGCGAACGCTTTTTACATGGTAAGAAGACTAACTTTCATATACTTTATACGTCTGTAGACTTACAAAGATATTCAATATTGCATTATGGAGAAGGCGCGCGTCTAACCATTGGTAACCATGGAGACAATGTCGCGCTACATGCTAGGCTAAATCCGTCATGTAGCCTAGCATGTGTGGAAAAATCTGGTTAGCATCCCGTGTAAAAGCAGCAGTTTTTATCAGCTGTAAGTGGAAAATAGTAATATTCATCAGTTTGTGTGGCTATTCTATATTTTTCACTTAATAAATTGAGTTACATAAGCAAGCCATTTAAAAAATAAGGGAATAAAGAAAAATAGATGAATGACAACAAAAAGAAAGGAAAAGAAGATAATTGGGAAAAACTAAAGGAGGGGAGGATCAAAACTGTAGTACAGAGACAAAATTTAACAGAAGAAAATGAACAATCAGAACATTAAAAAGAAAATAAACACAAACAATATGAATGAAAGCCTAAGAATAACATGCTTTTAACATCTAAGCTAAAAAAATCCTCATTTTTTTCTTATTTTTTCATCATTCTCCTCAGTTTTACTACTTGCAGACAATGATTTGTTACCACTTTGTAGCATCTGATTTTTGCCTTTTATCACAATAAAGGCTTAGATTTATGTAGATTGTGTTGTCGTTTGTGTGTCTGAGAGCCTTTCTCTGTGTGAGCGTCCCAGAAAAGGCAGACCTCGGGGAGTTGTGCTCTACTTTCACTCCTTTATTAATTCACCCTTGGCTCTCACTTTGTTTGCAGGGATGGTCGGGATAAAGAGAGGGAAGCAGAGCGTAGGAGGAAAGGCAGGGCAAACAGAAGTAAATGAGCTTAAAGGAGCAGTCCCAACAAACAGCGAATGTTGTTTCACTGTAAAACGTTTCAGACGCATTTAGTGGTGTCTACTGTCTTCTACTCTTTAAGGCCAGTTAGATTTTGAACTTAAATGTGTGAGTTTGTGAAAGATAAACTTACACTAGTAAGTTGTGTAAACTTTTTCTTAATTTTGTCAAACCTCCAGTTGAGTTTTTAAGTTGGCACTTAAAAAAATAAAAAAGGAAAAGACAGGAGTGAGAACTATTTCCCAGGGTGCTTAGCGGCATGTTTTTGTATCCTGAGATGGAAGTGTGTTACCTTGAGCCGAATTCATCGAGATGTTTAATAAAACTCATTATCAGGTCAGAAGGTTTGTTCATGCAGTTTGAATCAGGACTTTAAATTATTCTAAAGTAAAATAAGTGGCTATTTTAACTTGACAATGGAGTTAAAATAAGAGAGAAATGTGTGCATGTTCTGAAATAATAATTTGGCTTAAATTGAAGCAAGTTAAAACTTACAATTGAAAATGAATAAACAATTAGAACTTAGAAAACAAATTTCAGACACTTGTTTATTGTTAAATCAGCTTCATAAACATTATTTTCTGAGTTAAAACTCCTTTAATTTTGCATGTTTTCTGTATTAGAAGAAAAACACCCAGTTTTCAGTTTCTGTTTTTAAAACTTGGTTATATAAAGACAAATGCTTTGTATTGCAATAATGTTGGTGTGAATTTTTACCCTGATTACAAATTAAAAGTCTCCATCTGCATCTGCAGGCTAAATTTGTGTAATTTTTGAATTGCAGTTGGGGGCCAAATAAAGTCAATCCGAGGGTCACAAATGGCCCGCGGGCCGCACTTTGGACACCCCTGATCTAAACCAGTTTGTAAGTTTAGGCTCATTGTCCTTATTGAAGGCAGTCCTTCAATAAGCCGCAAACACATGTTTTTCACGATGGGGCTTCATTTAGTCTCCCACAGCATAACTCTTCCTCCACCCTGCTTGACTAATGCTCATTAGCATCCATTCAGACAGGCTTTTTGAGCTAACTGAATGTTTTCTGTTTGTTCACACAGGAAAACCTTATGAAGACAGAAATAAAGAGGAAAGACAAAGAAAAAGTCCAACTGTGTGATAAAAATATGTTCAGCATAGCGTGCTACCCATAAAAACCCTGCAGCGGCTCAGGGGAGGAGTTCAGAGGAGGCAGAGATGAACCTTACAAACCACAGACCGCCACCTGGGGATATAAGCTCCACCCACCTCTGATACCCAGGGTGACTGACAGACTCACCAAAGCCTCATACATCGGCATCTCAACCCTGTTTGGCCTACAGTACTGGTAGGTTCTCAGCGTTTACCTCTCTTTGGAAATATAGACGTTGCATTTGTTTGAAAGAAAATGAAAGGCAAAGGAACAATCTTCAGTCTTTTATTTATTCTTTTGTGCATACCTACAATCATTTACAACCAGATGCAAGCAGCATTTAGATAACAAATGTGCGCAGGTCTTTGTCTATATTCTGCTAATGTCGGTAATGAAGTTAAAATCACACATGAATTAGTTTGTTCACGAGATAAGTCACTAAAAGTCATGGCAGCAATGGATGTAAACATGAGATGTATTCTGAATTCAACCATCAGAGGAGACGTTGATGTCTTATGCAGCTAACATTTGTGGCTAACGTATGCAGCTAACGTGGTGTTTTGGGGAAATTTAAGTCTGCTGTATTAATTATGAATAATTATGGATTCAACACGTTTGAATGCCACACAACTTTTCATGAATTGTGCGATGCTGTGAGAGCTCTGGTGGAACCAGCTGCACTTTGTCTGACTAAATCAAAAACAAACCATCATCTTCTTTGTCGTTTCTGGCAGTAGTAACGTCTGGCTGTTGATCACATGACTTGTGCTGTGTGAAAAGTGTTTTCATTGCAGTTCTGCATTTCAGTACAGCTGAAAAACTGCCTCATCCTCACCGCAAAAACATTTGATCAAAAATTATTATTTTTTTATTGTTTCAATTTGTGCAATTTTATGGTTGATAAAGCTACTGACTTTATCTGAATCTCATATATTTTTATAAATACAGACTTCTCTTTATGCTTGTGGTACTTCCCCACAAATGTGTGAATGTGCAACAGCAACATCTTTATACCAAAGTGAAAATTCTTGAAGTATACTGAAAGTGAGAGCTCTCTGTTTACTGGACAAATGCAGTAATAAATTAAGGTGGCTTCAATGTGGCCACAACAGGATGTGACCTAAATCCTGTTCTTATTACTGAAAATAAATTTACTAACAAAAGAAACTGAAAGCTTTCTTTAATACATGAAAACATGTACATTTCTGCCAAAAATCCAGAAATTTAGAACCTAATCTCAGAAGTCTTCTAGATATATACAAAGAAATCTGCAAGATGTTTTTTTTAATTTAGATTATTATCAGAAATGTTCTACAAAAAACTTGGAAATTTTTGAATTTCAAATGTTAAAAATTTTCTTTTGAAAATTTGAGATTAATCACAAAATTTCTGAGATTTTGGTGGAAATTTACTTCTTTTTTATCTACAGTGGCTATAATACACCAATGTTAAAAAAAAGTTTTGGATCTACATTGGAAAACTTATTTAATTTTAGGCTTTTTTTTATCTAACTACTTTTGAGTCTACAGTTTTTTAGAAGCCGTTTGTGCATATTTACATCCTTTATTCTGTTTTATGCAGCATTTATGTTACATTTTTATGAAGTGACTGATCAGTGTTGCAAATGTTGGGATTTTCAGTTTTATCACATTTTTGTCAGTAGCAACTAAACTGATGAACAAATTTGGTTATAAAATGTTTCTTCCCATTGTTAGTAACAACACACATACCAAATAGTACTTTGTAAAATACCCACATCTATTTAGCATTTAGGAAATGACAATAGCGTTTTTCGTAAGGCTGAATTAATAAAACTTTGAGTAACAGGATTAATTATTTTTTTTCCTCGTTGTCCTTCAGGGGAAATTGGTTTGATAGATTTGCAAAGTGCAGGTAAACATTTGCGGCGCCTTAATGAATTATTGACTCAAAACTAGAGATTAAAAAGGAACAAATGTTAAAGTTTGACCTTTGAGCTTTGGCCTAACGGTTAGTGTTTCTGTTTGGAGCGATGGCCTTGTTGCATTTTCCTCCTTCTGCCCTTCGTTTTTCTTTCCCTCTATTTCTCATCCTTTTTTGGTTTTCTTCTTTCTCTCCGTCTGCTGTTGCCATGGAAACCCATCCTCCTCATCACCCCTGTCTGCTGAGTCAGGAAACACAGGCTGTGATTTGACTGAGCTGGTCCTTTCAGTATCACTAGATGGCATCTTAGACCCATTTACCAAATTATTAAACCTTCTCACCAATAACGCCGTTTCTCATTTTCACTGGATCTTACAAATTTTTCAGCCAAAATCGGAAAGATCAAACTGATATTTAATCCTTTTATAAATGTTCTGTTTAAACTAAACCGTTCTAACTTTTAGTCTTAGTTAAGACTCAAGATCTCGGGTGTCCAAAGTGCGGCAAGGGGGCCATTTGTGGCCCTTGGACTGATTTTGTGCGGCCCAGAGATGCAAATGGAGACTTGTAATTTGTAATCAGGGTAAAAATGTTACCAACATTATTTTCTTACACAGGAAATGTAAAGTACAACACAAAGTATTTGTCTTTTTATAGCCAAGATTTAACAAAAGGTAAAAACAAAGAGATGTTTACTGAAAAGCTGGACCCAAATCAGCATTTATTCCTACTTAAACTCGGCTAAATAGAGCAAATGTTTTGAAATAAAGTGAAATTAGATTCAGTCGAGGCCAAAGGTTTTTCTTTTAATACAGCAAACATGCAAAATTAAAGTAGTAAGCACATTTCAGCCAAAAAATTCTGAAATTTCGAGAGTTTTCTACAAAAAAACTTGAAAATTTCTGAATTTGAAATGTCAAAAAAATTATTTTGAGCTTTCTATACATTTTATGAGCCTAAGCACAAAATTTCTTAGTTTTTGACAGAAATGTGCTCCTTTTTTTCTATCTACAACAGAAGAGGTAAATTTCTGCCAAAATAAATTTTATGATTAAATTCATACATTTTATAGAAAACTCAAAAGAAATCTGATGATGTATTTTTTAAATATTAAATGATTGATAATTTATAAGTAACTCAGCATTTGAGTAGATTTTTTTACCAAATACTTTTTTACTTTTACTTGAGTAATTTTATTATGAAATATCCCTACTTTTACCTGAATAACATTTCTGGATTTTCTTCCCACTGAATGAAAAACAAACATGTTTTAACCAAAAATTCACCAGACACAGACACACACCTGCAGTTTTCAGGAGATTTTATGGGAAGAATTGTTATTTTACTGTTATTTTTTGTTATTTATATGAATTATTGTCATTTTGGTAAAAAAAAAAAAAAATCACTTATCTTTATAACTTGGTCTATTTGATGATGTAATTTTTAATAATTTGATCCGTTTACGTGTTGTAATTTCTTGGACGTCTGTTTTCTACTTTTACTGGAGTAAATTTTTGGGAACTCTGCCCACCTCTGGTAATCTGTGACTTTGTTGGGGGAAAATCTACAACATATTAAGCTGCAGCAAATGGAAACTCATGAGACTGAATCTTCAGTCTGAGCTCAACTGAACAGAGTTAATAGCTTTTATGAACAACTCCTGCATGACTCACTCCAGAGGCCACTTTACAGGGACATCTGAATGAGAAAATCCTATCTTAATCCCTCTTAAGGAAGCAATTTAGAGTTTCTCCAAGACAGAAGGTGGGCTGTTGAATACGTTGTCAATCAAGCAGGAATGTAACAGTCTGCGCATCACACTGAAACTGCAGCGGAGGCACCAAATCATTTGATCAAACAGAGTGAGTCATCTGTGATTTTCTCCTGTAAAATAATACACTGGTGTTGCTTGAACCAAATTCTCCTTCAGTCACTTAAACGCAGCTTTCTTCTGCTTTGAAGGACATTTTGAAACCATGACTCACTCACTAACTCCATAAAATGAGCTAAAAAAGAGCGAATAATAAAAATGTGTGAAAGATTCCCCATTACAATTTAAGATTCAGACTTCAAAGACCTTTACATTTATTTAATGGTGATAAATTGTAATGCTGCTATAATTAACCATTATGGACCATTAGGAAATTAAGTTTATTGGATGAGGAATTATTTTGATATCACACTTCCGCTTATCAACATGCTAGTTAGCATATTAGCTACATATTTAGCTTGAACATAAATATGCAGTTTAGTTAGCAAGCTAAATATTCATTTTCATTTAGTTTTGAATTAAATATGTTGTTAGCAAACCAAATATTTAGCTTGAAAAGTAAATGTTTAGTTTGGAAAATAAATTTGAACTAAATATTTTGTTAGTAAGCTAAATATTTAGTTTTATAATGAAATGTTTAGTTTTGGAAATAGGCTTTTATTTCACAAACTAAAAATGTAATGTTCAAATATTTGGTTTGGAAATAAATATTTATTTGACAAAATAAATTTTATTTTGAAAGCTTAATATTTAGCTCAGACTTAAACATTTAGTTTGCAAACTAACTATTTAGCTTTCTAACTATTTTTTTAATTGAAAGCTACATATGAAGTTTGTAAACTACATATTTAGCTTGTGAATTAAATATTTAGTTTGGATTTCCGACATTTATAAATGTGTGAATAACATGGTGAAAATATGGCTTTAAAATCAACATGGATATTTTTCTCTATGACAAGTTAAATAAAACAAAATATTTTTGTTTCATTTTAAATGTGTAAGTTTACAAACATTACCCCATAACCTTGTGGATAAACCCAACATGACACCAGATTATCTGTGGAAGATTCACCTATTAACACATTTTTCCTTTCCAAAATATCCAAAAGAAGGAACAAGCAGTTTCCAAAAGTGAACTGAACGTTGTTAAAACTGCTGCTACTGCATTTATTTTGGGAATACAGACTGATTTCATAGCAGAGAACATAAAAATCTAATTTATATTTTCATCTGCTTACGCTCTCTTCTGAGATCAGCAGGAAAGAGAAGCAGAGATGTTTTCTGGGATCAGGGTAAAACTAAAGCAGTGAAACTAAAGGAAGCTAAAGGCTTCCTGATCTGCACGTGTAAAATAAATATTCTGTCTTTACGTTTAAGCATTTCCCCTTCGTCGTTCTGATCCAACTTTCTGCTTCTTTTCCTTCCTGTTGTTCAGAACTGTGTCTAAAGAAAACCTAAAAATAATCTCTGGAGACGCAGAAGCAAGGTAAAAAGGAAGTTCTGCCATTTTTTTTCTTTTGCGAGTCTTTGTAGTTACTTAGACACTAAAAAGTTTTCACATAGCAGCATTAAGTGCTTTGTGTCAGTTAAAACATTACCACATGTATTTCATGAGACAGATGGCAGAAAAAGTAGGTTAAAGCACTTCCTGTGTAGATACATGCTAATCATTACATTTCCCAAACAGTGAAGAGCTAAAAGGGCATAATTAAATTATTCACCATTTGATTTTAGTACATCAAGAAGTGGGCCAACTTAAAGTTGTTCCCTAACACCCATAAAAACCTTTTACACTCCGCATGACAGAAAACAGCAGATAACTTTTGTTAATAATTAACTATCAAAGATGTTTTCCTTATCCTCTGCTTTTATATCTTCCAAACGGGGGTAGATGGTTCAGTCACACTTAGCATTTATAATGCCCGAATTATAATTTGTCATTTCTTCGCATTTCCTCTTTAACGCTCGTCTGTGTAGCATATTTACAGGACAGCCGTGTTAACGCGCACGCAGAGGTAAATATCCTCCGTATCAATCTTCATCTGTCTGT